GCCCGGCACCACGGAGGCCCCATCTGTGGTTGGAAGCTGTGGTTTTACATTGGCAGGAATTCTTAAGAGGCCTTTACACCCTAGGTGTAGGCAACAGACATAAACAAATGGAATGATCCGGGTTCGGTGTAAAAGGAGAGCAAAGCGATTGAGTAAAGGACAGTGGCAGGATCAAGTGACGAGGTGAGCCACAGAATCTAAAGCAGGTAGGTGAATGCAGATGAGGTCAGAGAACAGGTGTAGTCAGTTATTACTGACTGAGAGGAGGGTAAGGCAAGAAAAGATGATATCTGATGGCATCATTTCGGAGCAGGAACAGTTCTACGTGTCATAATGCGAGGGTGTAGCCATGGGAAAGGGCAGCTGAACTGGAAAAAGAGGTGAGGGTGACTGGAAATAGGGTCAAGAAATGGAGGGGTTTGGAGATTTGGACAGAGTCTCCGAGATGAGTGCACGATTTGAGGAGATTTGCGGGTTGAAAGATTTTAATCAATAGGAGTGAGAAGCTGGGACGTGAGAAAACGACAGGGTGGAAAGAGGTAGTGGAAGGTCTGTAATGGCCATTTCTTGTTGCCGTTTGTCTGGTATTCACTGGTTCCTCTTCCTTCTAATAATAGCATCTTGGTTTTGCTCTGGAAGCCACCTCTGTCATCCCCAGGCACAGAGGAGGTTCCAAAATATTACTAACATTCTATAGCTTAATCTAGGGGGTAGAAACATGAGCGTTCATGTTGTTATTCTTTAAAAACCAATATAGACACATTTTATTCTTTAGACTACACAGACACGTTTTCTATACTTCAGATATACATTTCACAGTTAAAACAAACAAACATAAAAATTTCCCTTCTCGGTGCTCTAAAGATAAAGACCTGTTCCCCACCTGGGCAATCAGAGTTACCAAGATTGGTTTCGATGCCTGACCCAATTTAGGCCCATGAGACACTAGCCCAGAGCTTTTGCTGCAACTATCAAGGAAGAGTTGCTCTCTTTCTGCTCGGGTTGTGAAGCTTGTTTGTATAGCATATTCCTTGCTAGCTTGAGAATAAAGCTAAAACGAAGAAAGCAGAGCCAAGATGGAAAGTGACAGATTCCGGACATCATGTGAATACCTAGTTACAGCTATTCCTGAAGCAAAAATACCTGGAGCTTTTCAACAACATACAACAACCTGGAACGAGTATTTCTTTTTCTTCAACCAGTCTGCATTCAGTGTATGTCCTTTTAACCAAAAAGAAATCTAATTCTGTTGAATAGTTGAATAAAGGATTCTCAGTTCAACGGCCTGTGTGATCCTTTCCAAAACCGAAGACAAACCACATTCTCCTTCTGCTCAAGACCCTACAACGGCACTCAGAGTAAAGGCCAAAGTTCTCGGGGTGGCCTACCAGGTCTATACAATCCGCCCCACCCTGCCACGCCCTCACCCTATGACTTCCCATTGCTCACTCTGCTCCAGCCACACTGGCCACTGGGCTATTCCCTGACAAGTCAGGAATATGCCTTCAGACCTCTGCTTTGGCTGTTTCCTCCACCTGGGCACTCCTCCAGATATCCACTTGCTAACTCCCTCACCTCCTTCAAGCCTCTGCTCCAATCTCAAGTTCTCAATAAGGCCTATCTAAATCCTCCTAACCATGGCCAGTGATTCTGAACGCCCCCTCCCTGCCCTTTCTCTTCCTTCCATTGCTTTTATTACATAATATAGTATGTGCTCACTAAATGTATCCAATGAAGGCAGGGGTCTTCAACTGGTTGATTCATCTCAAGTTCCTTCAACAGTGCCTAACTCTTAGTAGGCTCTCAAATACTTGCTGGATGAACAAATAAAATGACATGAGCCTCAAAGGAGCAGAACTTGGTTTGTAAAAGACAGGGAGGAATAGAGGACGCTAACCCCCTATCTCCTGATTCTGATATAAGTGGAGTACAAGAGGAAAAGACACCTCCATTTTGAAGACTTCAGAGGAAGCAGTGACCTACAGGGACAGAAAGAGGTGGAAGAGTTCAGTGACGAGATTGAGGATGTGGGTAGGGGTGTTAACCACAGTTGGGACTTGAAAGGGCTTGATGTTCAGTTTGGGAAGGCACACAAGAGTTGGAAGCTGAGTCAAGGGAGAAGTAGCCCAGGGCAGTTTGCGGATCAAAGTAAAAAAGAAAGATAGGCCAGTGGTTTATTTACATTTTAGGTGGAGATGAAGGATGTAGTAGTGATAGAAGGCCTGGTGAGTTTAGCTGGCAAAAGAACTAGTCCTAGCAACCCCAGGCAAATAGAGAAGATTCCTCCCATCACTCCACGGTTTGAATGATTTTAAGTTTTGTGCATGGAGAGACCAGCGCATATGGTCTTTCCCTCCTTCCCAGCACCCCAAAGCCCATTCGGAAGTGTCTGCTAGACTTAGACACAGGCTTCCCTGTTCATGGCACCATCCTGGGCTCACAAAAAGCAATTCCCTTTGCATAATATGATAACACTGCACTATAAGCAACTTGCCAAATCCTCATTATCCAAGCCCCAAACTGACTCACAATCAGGCATCCAGGATCACAACCCTAATGTCCAGAAAGGCAAGAGAACAGGCTTCTTTTCAAAGGCAGACCACAGCACTCAACTTTCCTACCTGCCCTCCATGCTGCCTGGGCAAGAAACAGCAGGGCAAAGGAAAGACTGCCTTCCACTGATAATGATTCACCTCTGTTGCTTCCTAGTTCTCTCTACAGAAATTTCTCCAGAGTTACGAAAACATGTGTGCATGCCAAGATTCAAGGAAAATGTTACTCTCAGTCAGAGAAAGAAATTGCATTGCTTTGCCTCTAAGGAAATTACACTGGTTACTATAAATGAGGCCCTTGGGAGTGATGTGATGTTGATGTTCCTTGCACCTGTAAGGAGAGTTATTAATATTCAATAATTAATAATTAGGTCTTCAAGATTCTCTCTCACAGAACTGTCCCTATAAAGGCAGCCTGCAGTAATTAGAATTGGACCTGACTTCCTGCCCACCAATAAGCTCTTGGTGGTACCGGGCATCTGTCCTCCCACTGCTTATTAGTAAAATGCCCATACTTCTGCATCAGGTATCCTCCAAAAGTGGATCATTAAGCAAATATCTAAAATATCCATCTGCAGTAGCCAGCCTCCAAGATGGCCCCAACGATTCCTAACTTACTGTCGACAGACTTTGCGACTTTAAGTGAAACTACATATTAAAAAAATAATTTTACCATAGGCTAATTGATATACAAAACTTTCTATAGCATCTCATCAATGTTATAACAAAACGACATTATTCGAGAACTTGCTATATTCATACCCTCTTCCCACATTGTACCAGTAGCGTTGTTGATCTGTGTGACCAACAGAATATGACGGTGGCATGTCACTCCCAATATTAAGTTATACAAGACTGTGGCCTGAGTACTGGGATCTTTCGCTGTCTTCGATCACTTACTCCAAGTGAAACCCGTTGCCATGTCAAGCAGCCCAATGGAGAGGAACTACCTGCCAACAGCCAAGCGAGTGAGCTTGGAGGCTCACTTCCCAAATTCAGCCTTCAGATGACCACAACCCTACTCAACAGCTTGCCTGCAGCCTCATGAAAGATCTGAGTCAGAACCACCCAGCTAAACTGTTTCCAGATTTTTTACACACAGATACTATTTTCAGGAGCTAAATTTTGGAGTAGTTTGTTACACAGCAATAGATAACTAATTCACTATCTTACACAGACCTGAGACAGAAATCGAAAGATTTAACCTACATGCATGTAGGACAATTTCTGTTTTCCATAAGAAAGCAACAAATTACTCATTCGATCATTCGTCACTTATTGAATGTCAAATAGGGAAGGTATTTCCAAGTGACATAAGCCTTCATAGAGTTATAATCTATAAAACAAAGAAATAATTACAAAGACCCATACACACACACCTCAAGCTGCCTCAATCCATTGGTTGCATTAGCTTTTTAAGTCTTCTTGCTCCTAATGCTTTACCCCTCGCTCCCCACTCTTTCATTTTACGAACCCTCTCAAGAAGGTACATAGGGCACCTCTGCCTAGCTATTTTGAGTGTTCGGTACAGGTATATTCATCTTAACTATGTCCTCCCATCTAAGGGGGAGGCAATCCTGATCACAAATGTTAAGAAAAATTCTAATTTCTGCAATTAGTGACTAAGGGGCAACAGCAGCGCTGATACAATCACAGCTCAAGTCCAGGTCACAGCTGAAATGGCGATGGGGGCGGGCGATGCGTCCCCTTACCAATCACTGGACTCTGCTGTCTCTCAAAGCAGCGGGAGGGTTATGCTGTTCTAAGAAAATCAGGAGCTTCTTTCTGCACAAAGAAGGTCAAAGGGCGAGCTTTCCTTCTATCAACAAAACCAGCTTCTGCCGAACCTAAACCGCGTAGGAGTCCGTCAGAGGTGAAAGGAGCACCAGAGAGAAAACCACAGTTGAGTCTCCTGTGGCCGGCTGGGGTCTGAGTCAGATGACTTCTCAGTGCACACAACGAACCTAAACAAAGATCCCTTCCCGCATGACAGACAGGAGGAAGAAGATGACTGGCAGTGAGACCACGGCTGCCCAGTCCTACCACGGAAAACCATTAACTAACTTACTTCTTTGCACCCCCAGCAAACTGGAGCTACAAGTTACTCTGCAGCTCAGCTTCAGGGATGCACCTGGAGGAACCCGGGACCCCATCCCAGGACACAGGCGCCGAGCACTGTACACACACTTCCAGCCCCAACCCGCAGGCGGGACCCCTCCCCACCAGCTGTCACCCGCGCTCACGACCAGTCACAGCCCCGCAAGCCCGTCTCCTCTGCCCGCTTCTCCTGCGGCTGGGACCCCGTAGAGTCCGCAGAGAGCAGACGCCTTTCCCAAAGGCTCTGGGGGCGAGGGCACGCCTGCCCCCCGGGAAGGAGCGCCAGGGTGGGCGCGGCCCGGGGCCCAGAGGAGCTCAGGATCCATCATCCCCCAGCTAAGCGCACCCCACCTTGTCGCCGAAGCTGCGGGCCATGAGCAGGTCCGGGCTGGGTGTGCTGTCGCCGCCCACGGCCTCCTCGCTGCTGGAGCCCGCCAGCGGGTGTGGCATGTCGCGCAGGGAGTGGGGCCCCGTGGACGGCAGGGCCTTGGAGGGCCCCCCCGC